CGGGCTGTGTGCGCGAACTGCAAACAGAGGAGTATATATATATATATGTATATTATATGTAAAATTTTTGTTTTTTAGAAGACACAGCCATATATATATATATAGAAACTGTGAGCTGCACTGATTTGTGAAGCCAGAGCGCGCTCAGTCTCCATCAGCCCAAGTCTCCAGCAACCTTTTACGGCTCGGTAGTTTTTAGGCGACAACCAGGCAGCTCATATGGCTATGGACCTACCCTCTGCTGCAACGGTATCGACTTGGAAAAGCGTGCGTTCCTTTATCGTATATTATCACGATTTTGGGGGGCCGGGTTAGAGTGGCGCGATGAGTTTTGGGAAAGTTTCGAAGTTAGGTTTATACTGCAAGGGTGACTAACGAGACTTCCGCATTCAGTCAGGTGCTGGGAAGGTGACGTGGAAAGAGGATGATATCAGGCAGCTGGCATTCGAGCTCAAAACAGGTCTACCTCTTCCAGTTTTGCAGGTTCTCACGAGTCCTGACTGGCATGGAGGCAAGCTTATCCAATTGGACGAGTTGATCAAGCCGAGCGTCGAGGACATCAAGTTGAATTTTGCATGGGTGGCACCTTTTGTGAAGGCATCGCCAGACAAGGTTCCATCGGGGTTTCTGATCGCAGACACTTTTCTTTATTGCGACCACCTGTTCATGGGCAAGCTCCTGCAACCAAGACAGCCGGGCGAGACAAAGCAGACCATGGCTGCTGAAGAGGCAGGCAACTGCAAGCGCCTGATTGGGGCACTCCGCGGGCTTTGGCGCTCGAGTTTCTAGAATGAGCATTTTCCAGCAAGTTCTTGGGTTCCTTTTGTTGACTCTGTGCAATAACGGTTTCATGTAAGTCACCACAACGGAAACGCTTGTGGTTTTTTGACTTGACAGCGAGGCAAGCTTGGGCACCACCCCCAGATCACCTACTTGAAGAGTTTGTTGGTGAAATCACCAACTCGGTCGCGGGCTTCCGCCGAGGAGGACCAAAGTCTAGTGGATGCTGACGAGCCGGCCCCTGCGAATGACGCGCCTGCTGAAGTTGTGGTTGAGGCGCCTGCTGAACTTGAGGGCGATACGCCAGAGGACGATAGCCAGCAGTGTGTGGACGCAGAAATGCATGACGCAGCTGATAGCCAGGAGAGCCAGCATGTGGACGCGCAGATGCCTGACAGCGAGCCTGTGTGTGATGGCGAGAGCGACTTTGAAGTTGAGGAGGACCGCAAGTCCCTTGTTTCTAAAATCTCATTGGCGCGTGTTCGAATTGGATTTAGCGCGCTTCACTAACGCGGGCGCACTCTCACTCTCACCTTCCCTTTACTATCCCTGTTTCGATGTCTTTGAGAAACATGGTGAATACTTGGGCATTAAAGCAGTGAAGGAGGAAGATCCCCTTGGGAAGGCGATGGCCCAAGACCGCTGCCAATCTGCTGATGTGGATGACGACTTGGATGCAGCCACTTTGCGATTGGGAGATCACTCAGGCCCTGAGAGCGAATCTGAAGCTGATGGAGGTCAGGATTGTGTCATGCAGCTTCCTCACAACCTGCATATGTGGGAGTCACCAGAATGTGGTCACTCTGTTTGGCCCAGAAGCCACGTTGTAGAGATGTGCGTGGCTTTGATGCAGCACCTTGCATCTGAGCAGGCTCCCATAATGAAGTGGCTCTTAATTTGCTCAAGAAGATTTTGTTTGAGCGGGTTGTTTTTTGGATGTTTAAAAGCTCTCACTTGTGTTGTTTTGTCTAGCGCGTCAGCCAGGGCTCAACATCTACCTGCCTTCATGGACCACGTCGAGTGGGCGTTCAGCAAGTATGGGTTGCGGGCATCAACGTGGCTAGGCACCCCGGACCACATTGAGATGTGGGAAAGCCGGTATTTTCATGCGCAGAAGGCCTTGGCAGCTGCACGCGTGAAGAAGGAACCGGAGGAGGGCCTAAGCTTCCTTCGTCTTGTGTCAAACAGGTTTTGAACTTTTGCAAAAATTGTTTCAATTGTTTAAACTTGACATATTTTGCAAAATGGTGTTTACCACGTGTTTGGGCAGGATGAGGATGACAAGATCCCTCGACCGCCTGCTGGATTCAATGAGGGCATCGCTTGTGAAGCCATGAGTTCCACGAATCTTGAAGACGCCCCCAAAGGTCACGGCGGCTCCAGCGCTGTGAAGCGGAAACTATCATTCGCAGAGGAGCGCGCCCCTGTATGCGATAATTACAAGTTTTCAATGTGACGCCAGCTGTCGTTCTCAAGCCAGCTATACCACAAAAAGTATGTATATTGTTTAGAGAACTGAAAAAAATATATATATATAAATCTATCTATCTATCTATCTATCCATCTATCTACTGTATATACTTATGCCACATTGCGGTAATGCGTGCATCAAAGCGACAAGTTTCGCTCAACCTTGTTCCCTCTCGAGGATGGTGAACAGTGTCCAATGGCTAAAGCTTTGAAGTCAAGCGCTGGGGCAACCACATCAAAAGGGTTTGGAGGTGCGACAGCTACAAAGCTACCCGAATTGGAGACACCGCCCCATACATCGAACATTCAATCTGCCTTCCAAGATGGCAAGATCACCCCGCCGCCGATTGGCTTGCAAACGGTTCCTTGCTTTCCATTTAGTATGGGGTTTGATATCTCGGAATGCACCAGCTTTTGACAAGGTCGCCTGTTCCGACCCAATGTGTGCCAAGTTTCGCCCTGCGTCAATCCCAGGCGAAGGGAATGCAGAAGGCCAAGCAAGAGGCCAAGGCTGCAGAGCCACCAGTTCCTGAGTCGAATGGCAAATCTCCCACGTTCCGCGACTTCGATCTCCAAGAGCTTGCTGTCCCAGCTGAAGCATGGCCAGCTGGACCCACCAAAGGAAAACTTGGGTACACAGTGACATCTTCCAATGGGGCCGTTCCTTAACAACACTTGGATATAAGTTTTGGTTCTATGTTGATGTTCAGCAGCGTTGGAAAGCATTCCCAAGTATGTTCACGTTCATTAGCCCCTTTGTTAAACTGAGGCCATTGAGGTTCTTTGCCGGAACCGTGCTTTTGTGGTGAAACGTATTGGTGGTGAGGCTGAGGAAGGCAAGAATATCAAGGGTCAGCTATCGTGGTGCAAGTTTCCCAATGTTAAAGCTGCCTGGGAAGTTGCGAAAGTCCGTGCCAATTTTGGCGGCTAGGACGTTGATGGGGTTCTCTGTGTGAGCAGAGAGATTGGGAACATCTCCAAAAGGGAGGTGAACATGTCTTCCAAGTTTCCACAGATAGCGGTTGGGCTCAATTCTGACAGCCTAGCCACCTTTGGATCTTGGATGCTTAGGCTTAAAGAGATCTTTCACGACAGCGGGGTAAAACATACCAAGAGTATCGGGTCAGCGAAGATGGAACATCATCCCAAGATTGCAGAAGTACAAAACCGTCAATTCAACCCTCCGTCGGCGTGCTTCCAGGTACCTACATCCTGTTGGCCATCTACCCGCTCCAAATTGTCTGCAAATCTGTGGAGGCCCTGTGACACTTTGTGTGCAAGTTGCAAAACAAGTACAGTACGCAAGACCTATCGCCGCACCTATGTTTTCAAGCTCGGTTCTAAAAACGTCCAAGAGTCTTGTGTCAGCAACATGCATGAAAACTCATCGTAGGGTAGACGGGCCCTTGGATGGCAGCGCTTGTAGGCATCCTTCATCGAGATCGTCGTCTACCGGGCCCCCAAAAATCTGCAAGTTTGTGGAGGCCCGACACTTTCAGCGCACGCGCTTTAGAGAACAAGTACGCAAGTCTTATGACGACATCATTCCAATCGCCTCCAAGAATCTCATCTCAGTAAAGATGCATGAAATCTCACCCCAGAGTAGAAGATCGCAAACGCGTCCTTGGATGGCAGCGCTTGCAGGTATCCTTCATCGTGCTCATCGTCTACCCAGCCGGCCAACCAGGGTTGGTGCAATCGTGGAGGCCCAATGAGTTACCAGGTTGCAGCGTTGGAAACAACCAGAAGTTCTTTGTTCCAACGACGAAGTCTTGCCATCGCAGAACCTCTTTCTTCTTGCATGTTTGGTGCGCGACAAGAGTGTCCAAACATGGAGGCCTTTGTCCTAGCTCGGCTACATCGGGTGATTGGCCCTCCGCCTATCAGGACAGCTGGCTTCAGATGTGTTTCTCTCACATTTGAAGGGTGGCCTGGAAACCACCGTTTTGGATCAAAAAAACAGGTTTCAGGCCACCCTGTAAAAAGAGACCCGCGTGGAAATATTCTTATTCGATGCAAGTGTAGCTTTGAGTACATCTCATGAAGTTCTTCCTAGTTCGATTGATCTCAGTGATATTCAACAAAAACCTGCGGAAGGAGTGAAAGAGGTGCTACTCTAAATGAGGAAGTGAGTCCTGTTCATTGTTTATTGGTTTGAGGAGCTCTTTCTAGACACATTGGCTTCGCTGTGATCGGTGGTCATTCAGTTCCCAGGACTGCTCTCTTGAACTCTAGAAACTGTAAAGCCACCCAGCTCTGACAACTTTACGTGTTGTGCCACGCGCACCAAAACTGGCTGAGCGACAACGCGCAAGGATCTTTGCATCGCCACTGGGAGGCACGATCTTCCGAAGCCTTTGCGTGAAGACTCTCATCTCAAGATTGTCAAGCGACAAGGTTTGTCAATGTTTTTTGCAAGCTTCATGCACTAGAGCCTCAAAGCGCATTGAAAACAGTTCTTGAAATTTGTTGGGGCCCTTAACAAATCCCTAGAAGCTACTCTAGTCTCATCTCAGTGGTCTCTATGCTTTGCAGTTGCTGAGCAACCCCCGCATGTCCAGCTAGAGTTGGCCCAAGTGCTCAGAGCTTCTGATACCTTCTGGGAGGTTTGAAGTTGAGCTTTCAAGGATGGGGATCCCACGAAAAGCGAAGAAGGCTGTCCGTGCCATGAAATTCAAACCGAGCGCCTCAGCTCCACAGCCCAGCACGTATAAGCAGAAGCAGCGAGCGTGGACGATGGCCGGGCTGCGCTCCTTGAAAGCGCCGATGGTGGGAGTTTGCTGAAAAGGTTGTAGGTTTTCAAATCGGACCTGGTAGGGATTTGCTGGTTATGTCTCCAAGGCAGGTGATTGTTCTGACATAGGAAACGCACTTCAATAGAAGCCCTTTCCCTATCGCAGTGCTTTGCATGGAACCCCAAGCCAATCCAGAAACCATGCAAGAAAATAGGGCCAACTAGACAACAGTTGGCCCCAATTGTTTGTCCCTATTTCTGTCGTTTTCATTCAACCTAAAGGTCTTGTACAGTGATGGCTCAATGTTAGACCAAATGAAAATAACGTGGTATTGGTTTAGTGGCTCAGTGGTCATGAATTCCCCTGGAAGGTCATTATGTACTTGGTTTCTTTGATGTTTGGCATCCAGTCGCTTAGCTTTGACCCGCTGGAGCATTTGGAGACTTTCAGCGGATGCATGTCAATCACCCGCGCAGAGTGGGAGGTGGGGTGTGGCGTTCAAAACCCAGAGAGGCGGTCAAAAGGCCTTATGAACTATTTTACAGGATGACGCGTAACTTTATATAATCCTTTGAGGCCTTGTGATGTTTGTCGAAGTCTTTCTAAACAATAAGGTGTAATACAAGTTTGGCTGGGCTAAGCTTATTGTAGCTGCGCCAGTCAAAGCAGTGCGGTGAAATACACCTGGAGGCGCGCAGGGCGGCAGTGCCCATGGATGTGGTATTGTCCTCTGACCACGACATCCTGTCGGATGTTGGCTATGCCAATATGCTGCACCAGGTTCTTCGGTTACGACCGGGGAGCGGAAAATTCACAGCTCCTGTTTGTTCGACGTGGGTGTTCATGCAGCGTCCTCAGTTGCAACCTTCTTTGTGCGTGTGTACTGTCAGCACATGAGTCCTTTCAACCGTGGACATGACATAAGTACTGTTGGCGTCAACGGCCGAAGAAACAAAGACACGAGAGGGAGGTTTGGTGGTGCAATCCTTTTAGCTTTGTAAGGTCGAGGGGCAGTACAGGTCGCTCTTCTCAACGGCCATTGGGAAAGCAGGAGTACAAGTCAGTGCAGGACGCCAACATAATGGTGGCAAGAGTGGTCATACTCCTGCTGCTTTGTGAGGCTCGCAAAATATGGTGGATGTTGGAGCAGCCAGTCAACTCGCTGCTTGAGAGGCATCCTTTGTTTGAGGCATTCCTCCGCTTGCCATCTGTCCATGTGCGTAGGCTCACCACTGCTATGTGTTGGTTCGGTGGCAGAACCAGGAAACCGACGTGGGTGTACAGCAGTTCCAGGGCTGGTTGCAGCAACCTGTTTGTTTTTCCTTTCGCAAGTGTTTGTGTAAAATTGTAGATGTTATGAGACTTCTTTGCAACAAAGATAAACTTGTTCAAAAACTGCGCGTGACTATGTAAGGCCACCCAGAGGTGTCCGAGATCAACAACTACGCGGACCACTCCCTGATTCCGGAGAATACTGCTGAGATGGTTGTTCACTATGTGGACTCTTCTGGGAAGCAGCGAATCAAAGGGGGTGGAGATTTAAAAGCTTCACAAGCCTATCCACGAAGGCGCTTGTGTTTCAAAGTGCAAACCACAAGGTGACCCCTCCAAAAATATGGGATAGCAACACCTTGATGGCTGTTCCTCCCGACCCGCTCCCTGTCCACCACCATCCCCAGGTTTGGAAAGGCTGTGAGCAAGGTGCGATCCAAGCACGCTGCAAAGCACCGAGCGCAAGCAGCTAAGTTCCTGAGATTGGCAAAGAAAACGCCAAATGTCGCCAACTGTGCACCGGCCATGAACGCCAAGTGGATGAAGATGGCCAACTTAGAGCCAATTTTCAACTTTTTGGCAAAGTAGGTCTTTTGTGCTTTCTCTTTGCATTTAGATAGAATCCAAATTAGCAAAATTATACAGCTTCACCTTCACCATGTGCAATACATGTGTGCGCGTGGGCTCTACGGGCAGGAAAACCGGAGCTCTGCAGTCATGGCTATCAACAAGACTTTACTCCTTGATGCAAGTCTGTGAGAACATGTGTGGTGTGGAAAATCGAGTGAGACCACCAAAGACCTATCCAGTCCAGATCGCCCCCAAGATCACACCATTGTGACACACCTGGGTTTATTGCCAGGCATCGATGGGGAGGTTCCAGCTGAAGCGAAATCCAATGCAAGGCGCTTCTGCAGGGCCTGTCCGAGGGAAACGTCAACCGAAAGGGAAAAATGTTTGGTTTTCAGTGCAAGTTGGATAGTGCGAGGGGGAGCGAAAACTGTGCGAGCGGGAGCGAGAACGTGCGAGCGGTATCTACACACATATCTACAACTAAAAACTCTAAATTCTGATCAGGGTTGAGAAAGTGCGAGCTGTATCTAGGCACATCCACAGCAAACAACTATTGATTGTGAGCGCTGAGTTCCTTCAAACTTGAACAATCCTACCTGCAGAGACCATTTTGGCTTTTTGACTTGGTGGTGCCCAGCGTTGAATAGAACCTGCGTCTGAACCATGGGTAAAGGGGCTAAGAAGAAAGTCCAAAAGAAGCCATCCTCTAAAGGCAAGGTCAAGGGCACAGAAAAGAGCAAGACTGAGGGTGTGAAGCTAGATCCCAACGCAGCGGAGAAAAACAAAAAGCAGCTGGAGTTGGCCTTAGCCTTGCCTAAGGTGGTGAGCCTGAAGCCTGGCTCGAAGGAGACCATTGCATCATCCAAGCTGACAGCGGCAAAGGCCGCGCAGATCAAGGACAAGGTGTTGGCTCTCGCCAAAGCTTCCAGCGAGCAGAAAACACAAGTTGAGAGTGAGAGCAAACAAGGACAGAAGACTTCCCAAGGCAACACAAACGAAAAGAAAGAGAAGGAGGAGAAGAGCGGAAGTGAAAAGAACGAGAAGGGTGCAAATGCCAAGCCTTGTGGAAAGGATGGCAAGGATCAGAGCGCCAACAAGAAAGAGAAGGAAAAGAAAGAGAAGGAAAAGGAGGAAAGCAGTCAGAAGGAGAAGAAAACAAAGAAGAATGCAAAAGAAGATACTGTGCAAAAGACAGAAGCGGCTGCAGCGGCTCCTAAGAAGGAGAAGACAACAAAGAAGAATGAAAAGGAAGATGCTGTGGAAAAAACAGAGGCTGCAGCGGCTCCTAGGAAGAGTGCTTTGAGAAAGCCGCCTGACCAAGCTGTCAAGAAACCGGATGGCAAGTCTTCGTCTTCGCCAAAGGGTGAGATCACCCCTCCCTCGAAGAGGGTCCTTGTCAAGTCACCAGACCCAAGCGTGACTCCTTCGACCACGGCAAGCGAATCGAGCGAGCGCGAGAAAAAGAAGCGAGAGGTGGAAGAAGCGCTGCTAAAAAGAAAGGATCTGCAAGAAGCGTGCAACAGAGCAATGATGGAGGCAGAGCTGGATGCTGCTAACATGAACGACTTCTTGGAGAAATTCGCTGATGATCCAAATGATCCAAAGGCTGGCTCTGTGTTGGCAACCAAAATGTCATCCAAGCTTGCAGCAGCCAAGCAGAGCGCAGAGGTCGACAGCGATGGTGAAGGAGATGATGATGAGTCAGAAGATGATGAATCTGCTGAGGGACAAGAAGAATGTGAGGAGGAGGATGGTAGTGGGTGTGAAGAAGAGGAAGAGGAGGAGGAAGATGATGATGAAGAAGCGGACAAGGAGGAGGATGAGCAGGAGGACGAAGGTGATGAGGATGAGTGCGCAGAATCCCCAGCTGGGGAGGCAAGTGATGAAGATGAAGCTGAAGGTGAAGGTGAAGAGGAAAGCATGGATGAAGATGATCCATGTGTGGAAGAGAAATCCAGCAATGCCTACAAGAAGCTTGCAGCAGCAACAGAAACGACTGAGGCTCTAGCAAAGAAGGTGCGGAATTCCACGACCCACAAAAAAGAGTGGGACAAGTTCTCCAAGTCTGCCAAGACAAAGGCTTTCCCAGTTGAGTTGGCGCCAATGTTCAGAAAAAACAAAAACTCCCTGTTTGGGATGTGGCTCGACTGCGGTCAAGAATGGGGCAATGTAGCAGTCGCTGTCAAGCAGGAGCAGGAACAATCCATGTTGGCAAGATCTCAGTGGGAGGCGGTGCAGGCGAAAGAACTGAAAGAGAAGCTGAGCGAGGCAAAATTCAAAGAGCTCCTCGAGAAACGAACTGCGGATGGCTTGATCTACAAAGACCGCGACTTCCCGGACGACCCAGAGGACTGCGTAGACACAGTACTAAGAGAGCGTTGTCAAACAGTTTTGTGGGTTTATGGAAGGGGATTTCAATAACTCACACTCTTAAAGCGGGGATGGCAAAGAACATGTTTTCTTGGCCTTTGAGTCACGTATAACAATCCAATTGTTCTTTGCTTTGCCTGCTGTTGGGCAGGAGCTTTGGGTGTATATGCCAAAAGGCAAAATCGTACGCCAAGATGATCGCACTAGTGAGAAAACTTCGCTGAAGGCTACAACCAATGTGGACTCCGAAGGTCTCCTTGCTATGACAGGTGATGGTGGGTGTTTCCAGCCTGGAGCGCTTCCTTCAGTTGTCGCTGCAAGCGAAGGCGGCGCCCAAAAGCTTTTGGCTGCCTTGGATGATGAGCGGAAAAGCGTGACAAAGGCAAAGAGGGTGAAGCCTGAAAAGAACGATATGGAAGATGTAAAGCCTCAAACACCTTTGGAGCCAGGGGCCTAGACTCCAGTCTTTCCCAGTTAAAATCCAAAAACACCGTCATTTGATTCACGGGACAGCGTGATATAGAAACAACAGAACCTCTGTTCTTCACACTGCGGTGATGCACTCTGTTTGACCTTCCAATCTCTGGAATCTAATGATGCAATCTCACGGTCAGATGCCATCTTACATTCTTCTGTTCTTCGTTCCAGAAAAGATGTTCAAACCTCTTTTGTTCAATCGTGAAAAGCTGTTTTGACACCATCCAACATGTTTCTGTTTTGATTCAAGCAAAATCTTCAATTCAATCCTCTCAAAACATCTTCAGTTTGCAATGATGATGGACTTTGCAAGTCTTGTTCAATGTTGATGCCAGCTTTCTTTGACTCTGCCATTCGTGTTTCCCTCATTTCTCAAACACCACCCAGAGACACCCAGCTTCTACCAAGTATCATCCATCAGCTGCCCGCCAGCTGCCCCACCAGCTGCGTCCATCAGCAGCGCTCCGCGGCGCCAAGGCAAGCCTTGGATCGATTGCCGAAGGTTTTGGAGCAAGCCACAAAAGCAAGGTCTTTGGGGATTCGGCTGAAGAGTATTGAGTTTGCAGACGACTTGTCTGCCCGGCTTCTCAAGCATGCTGCTGCCATGGAAAAGCTGTACATGGAATTCCAAGAGAAGACCAACTTAGAAGCCGATGGTGAAAAGGACTATGTTGCGCTCAACGCGGAATGGAACTCCAAGGGTGCATGGTTCCAGAAAGCCCAGGCAGGCTGAGTGTATCAATGAATCATGAATCTGGTTCAACATTTCGTCCACTAGCTCCATCAACAAACTTCTTTAAGATACAAAAAAAAGGTCCCCAGGCCACTCCCAGGTCAGCTCTTAAAAAAGATATATATATATATAATAAAGCAGCCAATTGCCATTCAACCCTCCGAACGTCTAGACTGAGCTTAGAAACGTAGTGGGCCAGCGTCGGATTGTCGAGCGGCATGCAGGCCTCAGCTGCTGGCATCTTGCCAAAAAAGAAGAAAAAGGTGAAGGAAGGAGATGAAAAGAAGGAGAAGGGCAAGACTTCGAAGCGCAGAAAAACTGCCTAGTTGATTTAATCCTTTTAGGCCGGGGATTGTACAGATCGATCTACAAGAGGATCTGTAGCGTGAGGGTTTCGCATCTAGGTGGACAAAGCTGTCAGCCCTGTCCGATGAAGCAAAAGAGTTCATTGAAGCGTCATGTGAACCCCTGTTGGAAAAGAGCTTACATGATACCAGTTGATCCCAAGCATATAACACTAAATTTTGGACTGTGCATTGAGTTGCGCGCGTTTGGCAGAGGGCCCTCTTCTTGTGCATTGCGGTTGCGTTGGTCCATGTGCAGCCCATACTGTTCTTTTCTGTTGCAGGCTATTCCTCACAAAGCAAGCGCGTCAAGCTAAGCGAAGCGCCTGTTAGCCGGACAGCGTACAAACTGTTGAATTTGGTGGGGCGGGGCTCTACGCACATCCAAACTGCAGTTGAAATAGCACGCGCAGCCACAGAGGAGGGGCTGAACGCACCAGTGCTTAGATCATTGGCAAGTTGTGGGTCATATGGCAAACATGATGGCAACTGCGAGCGGGATCTACATAAATGGTTGTCACCGGGAATGTTTGATTTTCACCTGGAGCCTTATGAAATCACCCTCAACCTGCAGGTTGCTTGCGCTGAACATTTGTCTGTTTTGATGTGGTATAGTGGGGCAGATGAGAACAATCTTGCAACGCTTGTTATCTTTGCAACGCCAAGGTTGACATGTCTGATGAGCCCCTGGCTGTGAGCGCAAGTGTTCTTCTACCGCACGAAGTGCTCCATGCGTTCTACGTAGCAGGGAAAACGCAGGCACTCTTGTTTGTTTGTTTGTTTGTTTGTTTGTTTGTTTGTTTGTACGTTTGTTTGTGTGTGAGTTCAGTCACGTTGGCAGTACACGTGTGAATTTGTGATGTTTCGCTGCCTTTCACCCTGTGCAGTTCCACGATATTTTCCTGGGCAATCTAAGTCCAGAAGGCATCCTTGCATTCTGGAACCACATCAAGCTGCAGGAGCCTTGGAAACATCACCAGGTTTTGCATGGCCTCTCATCGGAAGAGCTCCAAAGAACCATACCGTGTTGTGTGCATTCGGATGGAGCCGAGATGTTTACCAATATGGAGTACCAAGTTTACAGCTGGAGC